ATATTCGCCATTCTGCTTGCTGCCATCATTTCTTGATTGGCCAACCTATTAGCCTCTAACAGATCTTGATTTGCTTTCATCATCACTTCAAGCTCTCGCTGCCTAGCTGCAGCCATATTTTGTTGCATCTCAGTTAAGGCCATTATCATTGGATCTGGCTGTGAAGTATTTCCCCGCGGGTTAAGTCGGGGTCTTGCCAAATCTGCCAATATTGGATCGGTCGGGTCAATAGGAGGATCTGGGGATTTTCCAATCCCGACTCAGAAGCATTTCCTGATAAACAGTTTATACAACATATCAATTCAGAAATGCCAGATATCAATATAATCAAATACCCATACATGGGCGCATGCATAACATGGCTCCGTGCCAAACATATAAAACATAAACCTATCTGAATACTACATCATCATATAACGGCCATATATCAAACTGATAGACATGTACAAAACATATACAGGCCATATACAAAATAAAGGATCAATGATCCATCAAATGCGAAAATACTAAAATACATCAAACACTCCAAAAAGGTAGTAGCCTACAGCCACTCAAAATCCGGTCTGTCAACTGCCTCAGCCACGTGTCGTGTCCCTGCCTAGTGAGGACTCACCGGAAATCTGGGCCCCTGAAAATGTGTCCCCAAAGAAGAGCATATATCCATATCATATCAGAGATGTGCGCCGTCATTCCCAAGGGAGGACCCCAAGCGGAAATCAACGCACGTGTTCCCGAGGGAGGACCCCAAAGCGGAACCAGACATATCAGAGGAGTACACCATCAGTCCCGAGGGAGGACCCCAAAGCGGACGTCCGGGTACTATACAATCAATGGCCAGAGATTGTTACAGAAATCATATTACAGAAGTCATATCAGAGCAAAACATATCATGTTATCAAATAACTCTATATGAATGCATCTATACAAAGCATCTAAATCACAGTCATACAGTCCAACCATAGTTCACTAACCATGGTGGAGCACTCAAGTAGGAAAAGACTCCTTAAACATAGAGCTTACCACTTGAAGCTTTACCAATACGCTTACTTGTGGAACAAGTTACTTTTATCGCTTCAAGAGATTTCCGATCCTTCTCAATCCCTAGGCACACCTAGAGAATAATTTACAATGCATCAATAAAATGATGCAATACCATGATTATTTCATAAGCATACATTTTATCGCTTATTTTCCTTTCTTTATATTTTTGCCAATTCTATGCCAATACACAAGTCTAGACCTCTATACACCCGTTGGCGTTCTTTAATTTAATCAAGCATTTACTTAAGAATCTTTCACATAAATCATGTTATTTTTCTTTAAAAGTCGCGGGCGTACCCTTAGGGACTCAAGGTATTTTTCAACCATTTGTCAAAGCATTTCACTTCTTAGCTCATCCATTGGTATATTAAAATGCAACCCATTTTATTAGAATAAAATGTAACCAATATATATATATACCCCTAAACATCCTATAGTTCGCAACATAGAGCAAGTATTTGTAGGATTTTTTTCTAACTTTGGCATTTCCACCAATTAATCCATTTACACTACATTCCAACATATTTTACCTTTTCAAACATACAATAAAAATTTGCATGATAAACCCTATATAAGCCATGAAGGCCGAAACCTAGGGGAAGAGTGCACTAGGGCTTTTCAATTTTTTTATCACAAATTAATGCTTACTAAACACTATCATTCCTATACAACAACAATCCATCATAATTTTCACCTTCTAACATCAAATATTTCCCACTCAAAACATGCTCCAAATTTTCAAAACATAGATCACAAAATAATACCATAGAAATAAAGGTTTCTTACCTCTAATCACTTGTACAAAGCCTAGAGAATAACCTCCAAGCAAAGCTCCATCAAAAACCCACTTTTTCTCCTCCTATGAATAGTAATCCGAAAATAAGAGGAGGAATAACTCTTCACACACTCAACTATAGCTCAAATGGATAGGTGCAATGGATTCCTTGAGTGGTTCCTAATCAATTTCAAGTGGTGGGTCATAAGATTTGGTTGAGAATTCAAGAAGAAATCAACAAAACAAGCAAAACCCTAACCCCCCCCTTTTCCATGGCTGAAGCTCGGCCCTTCAAGAGAGAGAAGAAGAAATTTTTGCAATGAATAGTGATTCATTTAAGTGGCCAAGCTATTTAGGCACATGTGGCCCTTTTGTCGGATGTTTTTCTATCGCGTATTTCACTTAAATTTACCGGAAACTTAACTTAAAGCTACGGATATATTTTTATTTTTCTAAAGTTATTTAAATTAATTTTTATTTCCTAAGGAACAATATTCATAATTCACAGTATGGTTTTTGCACCGTTTTTAACGAAATGCACTGTGAACCACTAACTGTACTTTATTTAATTCTGAAACTTAACACTTATAAACTTATCATTTTCTTGGGCCTATATTGACTCGCTTGGCATATATTGGACTTTCTTATTCTTATTTCATCAATTATTTATTTCTGGACTCTACCGGTTGCTTAAACAGCAGTACAAAATACCCGGTAGAAACACTATTCACGAGATTTTCACGGAAAGTGCCAGACTATACAATTTTTCGTTCTGAACTCATATTTGTCATCAGAATTTTCAAATTATGTTCCTAAAATTATTTTGCTCATTTTAAGCTCTACCGGTTAATTCACAAAACTGTAAATTCTCCGGCAGAACGCACTGTTCATAACATAGTCATGATTACAGTCAAAATACTCGAAATCGCTCACTGAATCTAATTATGGCATTTAAATCCTTAAATTAAATCTCTAACTAAGATTTACCAGTTAGGGTCATTATAACCACCACCATTACCACCATCGTTGCCACAACCACTGCCATCACCACCACCCCACCACCATCATTGCCGTCGCTGCCACCACTATCGCCACCATTACCATCACCACGTCATCGCCACTGCCACACCGTCACCAACACCACCACCACCATCTCGTCGCAGCCATTGCCGTCACCACCACCACCACCATGTCATCACCAACACCACCACGCCACCAACCACCGCCGTCGCCACCACCACCACCGCCACCACCACCACTATCGCTACCATTACCAGCACCACTGCCGCCGCCACCACTACCATCACCGCAGCCGCTGCCATCACCACCACCACCATGCCCATCACCACTACCATCACTATATCATCGTCACTACCACCACGCCACTGTCACCAACCACCACCACCACCATCACCGCAGCCACTGCCGTCACCACCGCCACCGCCACCACTACCACCACCACCATTACCACCATCATTGCCACAACCACTGTCGTCACCACCACCCCCACCACCATGCTTTCACCATTACCATCACCACGTCATTGCCACTGCCACGCCGTCACCAACCACCACCACCACCACCGTCACAGTCACAGTCACTGTTGTCACCACCACCACCATGTCATCACCAACACCACCATGCCATCACTACCACACCACCAACCGCCGCCGCCGCCACTACCACCACCACCATCGCCACAGCCACTGCCGTCAGTACCACCACTACCGCCGCCACCGCCATCATATGAAAAGAAAAGTGATGATCCAAAAAAAATTATGCTTGATAGGAATTATTTTTTATTATATTATTTGTTGTGTTATCAAACGCAATTCTCATTGTAAGAATAAAAATATAACATGTTATCAAACACATTTTTTTTCTCAGAAACTGTTCCAAGGCACAGAAATAGAAAAAATTGTTTCTTTTCAGAAATAGTGCCAGGGAACAGAATGGTTGTCATGTACACCCTAAACAGAATAAAAACTCCAAATGCATTGAATGTGTTTCTTAGGTCATGAAGGAGACAAAACTTTGGAAAAGCGGACAAATTCTCACCTTCACTCACATTAATTATTTTTTATTTCTTTAATATACAATTGCATTTTGTCATTTCTTACAAACTACTTATTTGGGAAAAGTTTCCAAGTAAAGCCAAAATATAACCAAGTGTTTTGGATTCGTGTTAATGGCTTCACCTAAAAATTCATTAAAAATATAGGGTTAAGCATTACAGATATGCTCACTACAATCCTAATCCTTATTTGTTATTATTATACGCACACACTCATTTTGGCTTCTGCAGCTGTCTCCTCTGTAATCCACATATACAACAGCAACTTTAATCCAATAGCAACTTATCCACCTTCATGTAAAAACTCACTATAAATATTAATATAGGGTTAAGCATCATATATATGCTCTCTCCAATCATAATCCTTATTCGTTGTTATTATGCGCACACACTCTTTTTGGCTTCTGCCGGTGTCTCCTCCTTACTCCACATATCCAATAACAACTTTAAGAGGTAAACAATATAACTTCAGCATTTGCACTACCAACAAGACTCATGAAGAAATCAACGAGCCTATTGCTCATATGAATTTCTTGAACCTTAGGAAGGAAATGCTAGCATTTTCCATTGAACCTTAGGAAGGGAGTGCTACCATTTTGCCATTGAAAAATACTGATTGTTAAGTGTGCAATGTGACTACTACATATCATTTCTATGAATTTCTATGGTTTAACAACATTCCATGCTGCCAATACAAGTTTATTAAGTACAACAAATACCATTTGTTCTGTCATCAGATATAACTATTTGTTATGGCCAATCCATTTTCAAAACCAACCAAATGTTTTTATTCATTCTATTCTCCAAATCTTACACTTTCAACAAAAAGGTACAAATTTTTAATTAAAGTCGCAAACAATCAGGAAATAAACAGTATCATTCATACTTCTAATTATTGAAATAAGAAGAAGCAAGAGAAGATTGAAAATTGTGCACCATAATTGAATAATATTAATTCAATATTACTCAAATTTAATTAATTGCTTGAGAATAACACATCAGAATTTTACATGAATACCAGCAAAGTCTAATCAAACATTAAAAATCAAATTCCTATACAGCATATTACTCTTCTTGGACACACTCCATCCCTCAATCTGAATTGTTAGAAAAAGCTCCCAAAAAATGGAAAATAACGTTTTTTTTTTTTTTTTTTTTTGCATTTGCTTTTCATATCAGGTATCCTAAATTTTAGCAGATGACACAGCCATTAGTGTCCTCCTCTTCCACACTTGTAACATAGTGATGCTGATTAGACTGTAGTGGGGTCATGTGATAATAAAGTGGATAGGCTTCATAAAGCTTAACAGGTTCTGGAACTTTTATTGAATCCTTCTTATCATCTTCCTTCTTTTTTTCTTCTTTAGCAGGTCCAACAGAAACTATTTCAGTATGACACCATTTCCTTAGCTTCCCCACAATATGAACTGGGTCAATGTCTCCCACTAATGTTAATTTCTTGTCTTTCATGTCAACAGACACTGATTCAACCCCTGCAAGATAATAACAAACACAATTTCAATTAAAAATCAATATAAGGATACTGTAAAACTAATCCACTATAACAAAGCATAGTAAAATGTTTTGCTTTTATTGCAACTTTCTAGCCAAGAAAGAACTACAGGTTTATTTTTTTTATTTTTATTTTTGTCTCTGTTTGAATTTTGTTGATTGCTTCTAGCATAAAAAAACCAAGTGGTTTAGCAAAGAAAAGAGATTAAGAAGTTGAAATTCAATACCTGAAATGCCAGAGACTGTTTTCATAGCTTTTTGCTTGATTCTGTCATCATACAAGTCTGCCTTCAACACTACTTTCTGTCACAGAACAAACCAAAGAGCTTTCAGGACTCAACAATTACTTCTAAGTCTACAATATGAAAGGAAATCATAACAGACAATGAACACAAAATTATTGATTTCATACTTTGAAAGTCAAAAAGATGTACACCAATTCAGACCAAAAAATTTAAAGCAAAAAAAAATATATATATCAGTCATGAATGGAGACAGAACAAAACTCGTTCAAAAAAAATAAAAATAAATGGGTGATTTAATGATTAGGTGATGAAGGGAAGGAGATAAATCAGATAATAGAGATTGGTTTAACTTGAGGGTAAAATTCTAACCTTCATTGTTGTTGTGAAACTTGTGAGAGCTAAGCAATAATTGTTGGTGACAATTGCAAAGGAAGGCCTAGAAGAGCTTGGGGACAACTTTGAAGAGATAAAACAGTTGAAGAGGAAGTGTATGAGATATCTAAGTTTTGTAGTTGAAATGAAGTGGTGGAGTGAAGGTGAGGTTGAGCAAGATTTTATAGTAGGAAGTGGTGAGAAACATTGAACACAGTCAACACAAGTCAAGGTCAAAAGTGTAGTGTTCTTCCTTCGTGGATGGATCCATAGAAAATAATGGTGTCGTTGAGAACTTTCCGAGAGGTTTGGTTTCGCTGGCATTTGTGTCAACATCAAGGTATTTGTCCACACTCTGAATGCTTCATTCATGAATCACGCGCTTGGCACTGGGTCCCATCCCAAAGGTAGTTCCATGGTATATTTGGCGGCCATAATTCACCACAGAAAATAGACATCAAATTATATTTACCTATATATTTTTGGTTTTATTCCCCCACCCCCACTACTCTCTTCTACCGTGATCATGTAATCTAAATATTTATTAAATATAGGAAAAAACTTTAAAAAATAAACCCAAGTGATTTAATCCCTATGTTTTATTCATCACTTATTTCCTTTACGTAGTGTTTGGTTGAAGAGTTTGGTTGAAGAGTTTTCAAAAAATTTCCAGTGAAGTGCAACTATTTGTTATTTGTCCACGTTTGGTTAAAGGATTCATGAGATTTATCCATCAAACACAGTTGCCTAGCAATTGAGAAATGCATGTAAAAAAGTTAATAATGCACTGTTAATGAAGCCCTCTCCTAACATGGTATTTGTGTGAAAACTGGATAAATGGAAAAAAAGGATGAAAACAGTGACAAGTTTACCCCTAGCTCTTCTTAACCACATGTGAGCAAAGTCTCTACTCCTCTTCGTAATTTCTATTCTTTTTCTCATCAAAATTTTATTTTCAACCAAACATACTTCAAAATATTTAACCTAATTTTTTCAATAATATTTTGCGGTACCAAACAATTTTTTTTCAACTTTCCTACCAAACTTACTTTCCAACATTTTTTCTTATAATTATATTTTCCTAGTAAAAAAAAATATTTACGGAACCAAACACTACCTTATAATTTTTTCATTCCACCTTTATCACTATTATAAATTGGAATAGTCTGTCCATTTCGTCTATTAATAAATTACAGATAAGTAATTAAAGAATGAAAATTTTACTTTCACCTCTTCAAGCGTATATGACTTAATTCTTTGTAATTTTAAACTTGTCACTTAAATTTATTGTGAGCACAAGTGCATCAATTAACCCATAAATGTTAAAAATATTTTTGAGTAAATACCTTTTTTTGGTCCTCGGCAAATTTCACAATGCCCGCTTTAGTCTCTAACAAATAAAAAGGCTATTCGTGGTCCATAAGAAATTCAAAATGGATCCATTTAGTTAAAATTGTTGTCCCTCACAAATTCAAAAAAGAGACATATTAGTCCTTTAAAAGGACTAAAATGGGTCCACTTTGAATTTCTTAGGAACAACGAATAGTCTTTTTATTTGCTAGGGACTAAAACGGACATCGTAAAATTTGCTGGAACCGAAAATACTATTTACTCAATATTTTTACTCAACAGAATCCTACGAATGCTGCATATTGTTTTAGAAGAGAAAATATGTACATCTTTAATGAGTAGGTAACATTTTTCATTAGATTTAGAAAAAGAAAGAAAGAGAATCATTCAACGATTCTGCTTTTCAATTATATGATCGAGTCACTTTCTTTGAAGGAATTAATGGGGTGAGGATGAGGATCCAGAAAACGACAAGACACCCTTTGGCATTTGGAAAAGAAACAAATTATAGAAAATATTTTTTTTTTTGGTGGATAATTATAGAAAATATTTTCCTGTTACTGTTTGTACCTATTTTCAAAAATAAGGGAAATATTAGAATTGTCCTAGCATTAAACTTATCAACCATACTATATATTCGTGGGAGGGAGTTTTACAACATAAGAGACCAAAGAAATTTTTTTATAAAAAAACTGAGTTGTATTTCCACGCACTAACATAATTGTTTTCTGTACATTCATATATAGCAGAAGGGAGGAAGAAAAAGCTATGTAACTAACTATGAACTGGCAAAACTAAAAGAGTATAAAAATACCAAATACAAGAAAAGAAATTTAGATGAAATACAAGAAAAGAAATTTAGATGAAATACATGAATAAAAAAAAATACACTTATACTCTCCTTAAAGATGCAGAGTGAATGCTAAGAACTCCCATCTTATATAAAAAGATGAGCAAAAAACTATTTTGGATTAAGAGCTTTTGTGAATAAATCAGCCAACTACTTGGAAGAAGGGATTGGAAAAGTCTGAATGTGACATTTGTTAATGTGCTCACACACCAAGTGACAATCAATTTCTATATGTTTAGTACGCTCATGAAACACTGGATTGAATTGCAGCCTAGTTATCACAGAATAAATGTGCTGGATTGGAACAAGGGATATGTAGATCATGGAATAGAGAGAGTAGCCATAAAATCTCACAAGTAGCATTAGCCATTGACGTATACTCAACTTCAGCATATGATCTAAAAATAGTATTTTGTTTCTTTGATTTCCATTAGACAACAGAATCACCAATATAAACACAAAAACCCAAAATTGATCGACGAGTATCCGGGCAAGATGCCTAATCATAATCAGAAAAAATATTTAGTTGCATAAAGGAAACAAGCAAAAAGAATTCCCTGACCAACAGTAGCCTTCAAGTAAGCAAGAACTTTATGAGCAATCTAGGTGATGATACAAATTGACTAGGGTAATTTAAAGCAAAAGGTAAATCAGCCTTGGTGATTGTTAAATAAAGGAGATGTCGAATCAACCTACGATAAGAAGTAGGATCTTGTAAAGGCTCACCTTCATGTAGTGAAAGACGAGGGTTGATATCCATAGGAGAAGAGCTCAGGTTATAACCAAGAAGACCAGAATCGATTAAGATCTATGGAACATATTTAAATTGACATAGAGAGATTTCTTCGGAAGAACGAGAATCCTCAAGGCCCAAGAAATATTTCAGATCACCAAGGTTTTTCATTTTAAATTTGTTGTCCAAATCTCAATAAATTGGTGCACTGTAGTAGTATCACTAGAAGCAACTAAAATGTCATCTAACATATACTAGTGTGTTATGGACCCGTATAAGGGGCCCATTAAGTGATAGACCCAATAAGGGGCAATCTAAGATCTGAATCAGTGATAATCGCGAATAGATATCCATCAAGGATACTAATCCTAATACGATAGCATAGCAAGCAGGCTTGAGCCCCCTATCAGAGGCACCAAAGGCCCATCCACACTACCCACAGATAACCTCTATAAATACAAGGTAAACCCTAAAGGTACGTTACGCTCTCTCTTACTGTTATGTTGTCACTGTGCGCACACACACACCGCATTGGCTAATGCTGTTATAGTATTCTGTGCACAGTGATATGCTTGACTCAAGAGTATCTTCTTCATAGATACCTTGGAGAAGGCTGGACATACATACCAGCCTATTGGGCTGGACATCTCTGTCCCAAGGACAGAAAATTGGCGCTGTCTGTGGGGAATTCTTCTCTGAATTTGAAGTTCCCACCAATTTGACGAAGGATGGCAATCCAAACAAGGAGCAGTAGCCAACAGCCACCCCAAAACCAGAACCAATCGCTGGATCCAGTTCTGAAAGATGTAAATCAACCTCAACACCAGCCAGGAAACGGTGTGGATTATGATCATGTCAATGTCAGTGAAGATGTCTCAGACACCGCTTCCACACCAGCGCGTCATGATAGGGGTGTAGCTCCAATTATGGCTCCGGTAAGGAATAATCCTCCCCAGCATTCTGGGAATTTTGCTGCGCACGTTGCCCAATCAGCGGATCCTGACTCTCGGCTGGCTCAGAATGCGTTTGCTGCAATTATGCAGCGAGGACAGAGATGGAAAATCGTAATAACCTCCAGCGGCAACAAGACTTCCAAACGATACAAGGAAAATAACAGGGGAATGCGAGACCTGGAACAGCGCCTAATGGGGGCAACTCGACCAGGGGCGAGAGGAAACGAAGGCCAAGATGGCAATGGCCGGGAAGGAAATCGCAACTTGGTTCATCAGAACTGGGTTACTGAGGTGGAAAAGCGTGAAAGGCCCAATCCGGTGAACACGGTGAATCCGAACCTGGAGAACCAGACAGTGGATGGTCAAAACGCTGCTGTGTAGGCCTTGACTCAAAACGCTTTAGCAGAAGCTAATGGGCAGAGAGACCGGGATGGAATTCACCCCAACTAGAATGCACAGATCATCAGAGGGCGCGTGGAGCCCGGTGCGTACAGAAGGAAGTATAGCAGGGGGCAGTATAATAACAGCCCTTTCACTGGTGAAATATTAAACGCTCATTTCCCAGAGGATTTCGATTCGGCATGCTTGCCGAAGTACGATGGAAGTCAGGATCCACAGGTCCACATAGATGCTTTCGATACGGACATGTATATCCGAGGAATTGATGAACCCCTCATATCCCGGATATTTGCCATAACCCTAACTGGGGCAGCGCAAGTATGGTTTTCAACCCTTCCTGCTAATTCCATCGGATCTTTTGAGGAATTCGGACAAAAATTTCTCTTAAACTTTGCAACCAGCAAAAAACATCCAAAGTTCGAGTTCGCACTTGGACAGATACGTCAACAACCCGGAGAAACTTTCAAGAGGTACCTCAATCGGTTCAAGGACGCTGCATTGCGGGTGCCGGGTTTACAAGAGAATGTCCACGTACATCTCATTGTGGCTGGTTTGGATGGAGCATCCAGGCTAGCCAAGTCGATTTATAAAGACCCAGTGAGGACGTTGGAAGAATTCAGAACTCGATCGAAGAAGTACCTCGAACTCGAGCAAATGGAGATTGCAAATGCGCAATCTGAAGAGGGAAAAAGAATAAGCCCGAGAAGAAGAAGCCCGGCCCTGAAAGAAAAAGAACGAGTTTATAATAAGAAAAAAGACTCTAGGGCCAGAATCCCAGACGGCCAAGATTGAGTTGGAAGATATGAGAAGTACACACCGTTGAATGCACCACGCTCTTAAATCTGGAGGGAAGTG